CTCTATCAGATTTATTTTTGGCATCAGGCACCTGAGTTTTTCTTAACTTGGTTCATTGAATGGTAACTGATTTTGTCAGCTAAGAAAATGTGTTGCTTATGAGACAATAGATGATATAATTCATGACACAAATTCTGTTCTAGTTAAGTTTGATTTAAATCAGTTCCATTCTCTACAAACTTGGAGTATTAAAAAAATGTGTAAACATTTTTTTTAGAGGACACCTCATAGGCTCAAAGCAGAGATGGGGGAGGCTTTTCACCAGGTCCCCTCTTTTAAAAGCATCTTTTAAAAAAAATATGTATTTTATTGATTTTTTACAGAGAGGAAGGGACAGGGATAGAGAGTTAGAAACATCGATGAGAGAGAATTATTGATCAGCTGCCTCCTGCACACTCCCCGCTGGGGATGTGCCCGCAACCAAGGTACATGCCCTTGACCGGAATCGAACCTGGGACCCTTGAGTCTGCAGGCCGATGCTCTATCCACTGAGCCAAATCGGTTAGGGGCAAAAGCATCTTTTGATATTAAAGCTTTTTGGTGAGTTAAAGTTATTTCCTCACAATGTCAGAGTTTCACGTGGCATGTTGAACCTTCCATTCAATGAATGATATGAAGTTCACAAACTATGACTTAGACTTTGAATAAACAATATGGCACTTTAACTTTTACTTTCAGATTGGACTGAAAGCTCCTGAAGTGCACAAATCATGTCCCATTCATCTTTCTGTCCCCAAATATGAACAGAAATAGGATTCCATTGCATTTCAACAGTGTTTCTACAAAGTAAAATATAAAACCCAAATTTCTCAAAAACAAACCCTGCATTTTTTTTTTTTTAGTAGGAACACTAGAATTATACACTGACCTGATATTTTATGGCCAAATGTAGGGGAAATGTCCCTTTGCTGCCGTGAACTTCTCAGGTACAATTTATTGATAGATGTGCCTGTGAAATGACAGCAACAACTGATCTGGAAAACATTTTAGATTTCAGGGGGCAAGAATGCTTTACATATGTTATGTAGAAATATCTCAGGCATGCAAAAGAATGAAATGAATAGGGAAACTGAGCTTTTTTTATGGGAAAGAAGTGTGGCATTTGCCTCAGTTATTTTTATGGATTAACTTGGCACACCTTTTCCTTCCCTCTTGCAAAGGGATACCTTTGGCTTCCGTGGTCTTAGTCCATAAACTTAGTTGCTGTGTTTTATAGCTCAACCCATGACATCAGACTATGGGAAAATTCCTCAAACTGCCTTACCTATCAGTTTCCTCAGTGAGGAGAAGGAAAAATAAAGCTAATTTACCATCTAAGCACGTTGAACAAATGCTATAACCAAGTAGACTATGCCAGTGCACAATACCAGCTTCTTACTTTACCATGGTCAGTTTTGAAAGGCTGTCTACTTTATGATGATTCTGTTAAGAAACAAAAATGTCTGTGACCTTTAGCTTGCTGTGTATAGCCTCACTTAGCCTTTTTCATATGTGACACAGCATGTCATACCAACTGTAGCCCACTAAGAAAATTATAAAATAGCACTTTCTCCACTTACAAAGGAAATACACACACACACACACACACACACACACACACACAGCAGATCTTGCTATAGAAATTCTGTGACCTGGTATAGAAATATATGAAACAGGTGTATTCTGGAATGTTGAAAAGGAGAAAATAGGATTCAAATATACGTGGCTAAATAATAAACTATTAGTATTGCTAGAAAATAGAAACATGGATTACTAGGGTTGAGGTAGGAGGAGGTGGGAAAAAAGGTCCAGTCTCACATAGGTGAGGGAATTGAAGGAAAGAAAGCAGCTTTCTGAATCAAACTATGGCAAAGAAGGAGAGGTTGGAGCCTAGCAAAACCGATTCTAACTTGGCTGCCAATACCTGCAATGGGGCCAGAGCCCATATTATCCTTTCTGGGGAGGAAGGGATAGCTCTGAGGGACAAGCTTTGGACTAATGCTTCTGGGCGACTCTAATGCCAGTCACCATAAAAGTACTACATTTGGTTTACCTTTATGGCTGAATTTATGCAGAGGCATAAAGTGACAGCCAAGACTCATCTAGTCCTCACTCCCACGCCCTTTTGCTAAATTCTGGAAATTTATTTAATAGGAAACAAAGATTTTCATTTCCTAGAGATATATGACTGTTGGAAGGAAAAATCTGACTCAGACTTTCTAAGACTTACAGCTCTCTGATTTTTTCCTTGGAGCAATAAAGAACAGGAACCTGATGCTGGGAATGGAATGTTCATTGTGGAGGAAAAAAATGGTACTGAAAGACCCAAGACAGACTTCCTTCATGAGCATCATGAGATTGCCTATGTAATTTCACTTAACTCATCATTTTTGGATCATGGTCCCTCCTCAATTAGTTCTCAGCTTCCAGTTTCAGCCTTCAATCTACCTTCCATTTGTCACTGGAGTGATTAATTTTCCTAAAATGCAAATCTGATCACAATCCCACTTCTTAAAATCATTCTTACTTTCTGAATGACTAGAAGCCAAACTACTGAGGTGGGGGAGGCAGTCATTGCCAGTCTGCCTCCACTGAAACAAATCTGTGGCTAACCAGGGAACTCTATGTTTTCCAGTAAAACTTTGAGCAGTTTTCTTACTCTTGTGATCTTCAAGTGTCAATCAGGTGTCACCTCTTGAGGAAACCTTTCCTGACAGCCATCGTTGACTGTGTATGTCTTTATTATTATTGCATTGTATCTGATGATTTGCCTATATTCCCGATTAAACTGTGAATCTTGAGGGCCAGGTTTTGTCCTTTTAGCAGGATTATTTAAGAAAATGGAGTCATCAAAGTACCTGCCACTCAACTACAAAGCTGCCATTAAAAAAATCCACAAAAACATGACTTCAGATCTCGACAATTTGTTTCCAGAAAATTAGCTATTTCTGGGTCCACAGATATATTTCCATGAAGAACAGGTATTTTGATTATTCTAATCTTAAGGCATCTCCCCCCCCCCCCCCCCACACACACACACCCATGCTCCTCCCCCAGCTTAAAGGTCCAGGAGTGACTAGAGTTTGGAGGTTGGAGAAATACCACAATCTCTGACCTGTGACAATTCTTAAATGATGACATCTGTGATTATCCATCACTGGGGCTAGATGATAAAGCATTCTTGTCTTAATACTTCTACTTAGCTTAGAACTTTGGAAAATATTCAGCTATTTGGGAGATATGAGTTAAAACAACTGCATATTTAATACCTAAAGGGGGGAAGGGGTGTGGCAAGCTGTAATATCATTGTAACTAGCTAAAACGAATTTTCTTTGGGGAAAGTTAGGTTTGTATTACAGACACACTGCCATATCAGAAACAAAATTTTCTACCTATGATTTTCTGGTTGGCTAAAGTAATAGAAATATATGGCACCCTGGCCTATGCACCCTACACAAAGAATTAATAGATGGCACTCCTATAAGAATATGCCCCCCAAACTGGCATCTCAATAAATTAATATTCCAGCTATATGGAGCAGAAGACCCTAAACCTCTCAAGTAAAACTAAAATTTACTTCAGATCCTAAACAAACTAATCAATTGGGAGAATGCCTGATATTTCCAAATACACTATATCTGATGCTGAAAATACAATAGTTTTCCCATCCTTAAGTTTGGCTCTGACTTTGGAGTGGGGACGTGCCTTATGAGTAGGTTTGGATGTAAAGGCTTCCTTTCAGTTACTTTCGGTGGTGTATGTGGGAGAAGGTTGGATTCAAAGGGAAGGGAGGGGTAAGAGCAGAGGACTATCATAGTTTTGCAATTTTTGAACAATGAATCATGAGTTGAGAAACTTCTCATGTCATTCAACTGAAAAGTGTATTAATATTTAAGACTCTTGATACATGTTGCCAAACTACTTTCTACAAGTACACAGGAAAATTTGTCTTTCTACAATGGGTCCTGCTATCTAACAATTTGCTAAATATTAATTTGCATGTCTTAGGTTACTAGAAACTGCCATTTCTGCTGCGAACTATCCATGTTTATTTCTTTTCTATTGTTATTTTTTAAAATGTAAAAGTGGTAATAATTGCTTCTAATTACCATTTTAAACTAACATTAATCATTTCCTTTGTGACTATTACTTTTATGTTTATAAAGTGTTTTTCTGTCCCCTGAATCAAAAGCTGTATGTTCACAAATTTCTACCTTTCTAATACTAGTTTTCCTCCACCTGTATTAAATATCACACTGTTTGCACTCGAGGGGCACAACTAGTGAGCCTTTTGGTTAACATTCCAACACGGAAGTTCCACTTTCTATCTCACCGTATTCCACTCACATCTTCAAGGCTGCTTTTTCAAGCCTGTGTACTTAGTTCCTTTAGTTATTTTTAATGGTATCCATTAACTTTAAAATTTGTTTATACTGAATATATCCTGCAACACAACTAGAATATAAAATATTTGGTAACCCGATGTATACCCAATTTTATGCATTTAGTTTGTGGCTAATCTGATCAAGTTTTTATTTTGAATAGATAAAGAACATTAACTCCTGATTAGCTAGCTGGCTATAGATACAGAGCATGTTAATTTTTATAGGCACCTTTCTGAATTCAAGTAAAAGTTTTGGTAGACAAGGATTTCCTATTTAAAGTCATTGACATAATATGAATATTAAGTACAAATATTGCTCAACATTCTTGCATTCTTTAAACTATTTTACTTTGAAAACTTAAAAACTATCATGAAGTCATTAATAACACAGATTTTCATTCAAGGAATATTTTGAACTGTGAAAATACAAATTGAATCAAATTAAATTTTGAACACATATAGAGCCAAATATTTCAACAAAACTGCAGTTTAATTTCAGAAAATGTGTTAAAATATATATTTATACATCAATTTCTGACATACACTTAATGTGTTAGTATACACAAAATGATGTTTTCTCTTGAAACTGTATTTATGAAATGTACATTTTAATTTAAATACTCAGTATACACTGCACTTTATCTGCATGTTGCATTTATTAAATACATTAAAATCTGCAATGTAACAAAACGTCTTTTGCATACGAAATTCAAAACACCATTTTAAATGAACAAAAGATGGCTCACTTCATTTTATTTTGTACTTTACAACTAGTGTATAATACACTAGCTCAGCTCCACCATACTACCTGTTCTTTCTTTTTTATTTGACATTGTTCACAGACTAGTACATATTACAATAAGAGTGCTGAATAAAAACATGAGGTACGAAAGTGGTTCAAAGAGTATAGGTCATGCAGATCATGCTAGACAGCAAAGAAAATTGTGACCAAGAAAACACTAAATAAAAATACATAAAGAATGTGCATTATAAAAAAAAAACAAAAACAACCCCCCCCCCCCCAAACTCCATTACACAGCTTTGCTTCTTTGGTTACAAAGTAGGTTGAACAATTTCACAGCTTTTTTTCCCCACCCCCCGCTCCCAAAAAAGTCATACGAAATGTTGAAAAGCAGAGGAATCGTGGCAATTTCTCTATTAGAAAGTAGAAACAAATGAACAAAGTTTTCTTCATCAAAATAGCCCAATTATTTATTATATCACAATAATTGGTTACTACCTGTACAGTTGCACTATGTTCTTCATACTTACACTATACAAAATTTACATTCAAGCTGGGTCTTTACTACTAAAAATAAATACCGAAGGTAAATTGCCATTAGTGTTAGAAATATGCCAGGATTCTTTTGTTCAATTATTGCCTAAACGTTTAATCTGTTAAATGCAATCCTGTCTTTCAATTCCTTTACTGATACTTATAATTATTCAAAAATTAAAAAAGTTCTGTGACATTGTTCATGTACATTATGAAAATAGCAGCCCTGTAATAAATAAAACACAAATAAATGAAAACTTATGTAGGCAAATGTTACTGATACTGAAAGAAAAGTGGCTCTTTAGATGAACTGTTATTTATAATATGATAGGAAGGCTCAGGGTAAATCCATGGATGACAGACACATGGAAGAGCCACTAAAGCTCTTAAAGGACTCATACGCACCAGGTAAAATGCAGACTTTGCTTGCTTTAATAAACCCCATCTATTATTCTCCTTGTGTATTGATGACATAAAACTGGACATCAACAGCACTGCATGACATCTCAAAGAGAGGAAAAGCTCTTGTAGAATGATTGTCTAATACTGAAAAGGCCAAACACATAACCGAAGCATGGCTACTTGCTTTCATATAAAGTGGAAAGAACACCAGTGGCACACAGGATAGATTGCTTTCAGTTTTTTTTCTTAATGAGGCAAGAAAGCTTTATGCTGAGGAGACATTCGGCTGCTGTGGAGGTTGCGTTGGCTGCGGAGGCTGTGCTATCACTGCTTGCTGTTGAGAAGTGCTACCAGGATTGGCCTGTTGGGCTGGGAGTTGGGATAATTGATCATTGTTTGAAAGAGACTTTAACAGTGCATTTTCTCGTTCAAGTAAAGAGTTTCTTTCAACTAATTCTTTTATTTGTTCCTTTAGAACTTCCACTTCTTCTCTTACTGCATACATCAAATGGCTTTTCACCAGATCCTGTGAAAAACAAAATTAGGAATGTCAAAAAGAGAGAAAGGAAAAGGTGTTGCTATTTGGTTCTAGCCTACCTGGTGCCTTATAAATGTAAGTTGTTTTTATATTAGTTTTCCTGCTCTTGTTTTTAATGTTTCTACTATATCATGACTGGCCCTAAGGAAGATGGGGGAGAAAAAACCCAGTTTCCAAGTAGGGCAGCAAGCCCAGGATTTTTTCCCCAAAGTTTAGAGAGATTTCCAAAGATACTAGCTCCTTAAATTGTCAATTATAAGCTTAGAATTAACAACAACAACAAAAAAGTTTGAAAACCACATGCTTAGATGTTGGGCTAACAGTGGTCAGCAAACTGTGGCTCGCGAGCCACATGCGGCTCTTTGGCCCTTTGAGTGTGGCTCTTCCTAAGCCTTAGGAGTACCCTAATTAAGTTAATAACAATGTACCTACCTATATAATTTAAGTTTAAAAAATTTGGCTCTCAAAAGAAATTTCAATTGTTGTACTGTTGATATTTGGCTCTGTTGACTAATGAGTTTGCCGACCACTGGGCTAAGAGAACAAAGGATATTAAACTGTCTGTTATTAAACTGGTTATATAGTACTACTTTAAGAGATATGGTGGTCTGCAATTTCCAACTTTAAAACCCTGTTTTTTAAAAAAGTTTGAGACTAATGGTCCTTATTTTAGCCTGTTATAAAATATGTAAGAATATTTTACATAATATAAACAGACTATCTTTAAGGAAACAAAAAATTTTAATAATAGAAATCAGAACCAGAATCAATAGAAACAAGTCTATTTATTAAGACAGTGGTTCTCAACCTTCCTAATGCCACGACCCTTTAATACAGTTCCTCATGTTGTGGTGACCCCCAATTTCATTGTTACAAATTGAACATAATTAAAGCATAGTGATTAATCACAAAAACAATATGTAATTATAGATGTGTTTTCCGATGGTCTTAGGCGACCCCTGTGAAAGGGTCGTTTGACCCCCAAAGGGGTCGCGACCCACAGGTTGAGAACCACTGTATTAAGAGTACAAACAATGCCTGTAAATGACCAAAGGATGACAAAACTTTCCAGCTGAAGTTTTCATTTTAATGTTCTTTTGTCTCTAAACTATTTTTGATGCTGAAATATTTTGGGGGAACATAATGCATTTTGATTATGTATACCCCCCCAAGATGGTCTTTTATCAATGGTAATGCATGAAATGTGAGATGTTGAAATGGGGAAAATATTTACTTCATTGGTATTTTTAGGCTAAAAATTTTCAATATTCTAACAACTTCAACTAAATCTCATTATAAAAAAAATATACTTTGGTCATCTTGGTTTAAATAAATTAGGTGTTTGTTTTTTAGAATTGATAACCAAGTGCTTTAATAGAACCAACAATCTATAAAATGAGAGGACTATAAACTACTTACCATTGCTTGTTCTATTTTGTTGTCAATGGCTACACCACCTGCCCCAGATGCACTGGAAAAAATTACAATATTTCATTAAATTATTCTAAAAAATGCAATTTCCCTTCCACCTCTTAAAATAAAAACAACTATCTGTGTTTTACTTAAAATAAAAAATAGTAATTTAAGTCTATTCTCAAATTTCAGTACTTAGAGCTCTCATTTTGAAAATGAGGATCTCAGTAAATAGTTGACTTCTAAAAATCCTTTGTAGTTCCAACTTTTCTAATTTGCCTATGACAATATATGCTACTTTAAAAGTAACTCCCAATTTTATTCAGTTCTCAATTCAGTGAATTTAAAAAGATAAATTTTGAATGAATTGTACCCTCTCCACACCTCTTAAACTTCATTTACCAAGTATATATCTTAAATTGCCTTTCAGGTGGAAATCCTAGTAGTTGCTTATTGCATTAAACATCAGATGATGACTTTTCTTCTATATATTTGATATTTTAACGTCTGGTTTAAAAAGTTTTTAAACTGACTTATAGAAATGATTCAAAGGGCTTTAGGGCAAACAGTACTTGCAGTGTTGATTAACAAGGAACTCAACATTCTGGCAGATCTACAAGCTTTGATTGCAGGTTACTAGCTGGCAAAATCATCTACTAAGGTATGTGGTTTGGACTAGTTTTTTCTGGAAATAATTGGAAATAGTCTAGCAGGTAAGTATATCTCAAGTTCAAATATCAGCATGTATGACAGTGACAAAGGCTGAATAACTGTCATCTTTGGAAGTAGTGAGGATCTATATCCTTTTGTTGGTGTTTTTGTAAATTTTGAAGAACAGTGATTAGGTTTTCTTATAAAGACAAACATGATATTTTAGCCCACTGTATCAATACAAAAAAACACCTTTAAACAACTTTTATATAAAACCTCACTAAATATTCTTTATAAAGTATACCCCACCCAAGAAAATCTAAATGGTAACATATCTTAAGACTACTATACTTTAGATCAGCGGTTCTCAACCCGTGGGTCGTGACCCCTTTGGGGGTCGAACGACCCTTTCACAGGGGTCGCCTAAGACCATGGGAAAACACGTATATAATTACATATTGTTTTTGTGATTAATCAGTATGCTTTAATTATGTTCAATTTGTAACAATGAAATTGGGGGTCACCACAACATGAGGAACTGTATTAAAGGGTCGTGGCATTAGGAAGGTTGAGAACCACTGCTTTAGATGATAAGGACCCTCAATGTTATAACAAACTGGGGCTCAGAAATATGTCTGATGTAGTAGTGCCTTTTACATTATAATCCAAGTAGATCTGGTCATAATCCTGGTTCTGCTACTCACTACCCACATGACCACTACCAAATCGATATTTAACTTGCCTACACCTCAGTTTCCTCATCTGTAAAATGAAGGGATTGGTGTCAATTCCTCACTAGGAATAATAAAACCTAATTCTATTTTAAAAACTTCTTAGCCTGGTGAGGATATAGAAGTGGCAAGGCCTTCTCAAAACTCTGAATCAAAACATGGAAAACACTAAGCTTTTTTATCTGAGCATTAACCACATTAATTGCAGCATACTGCTTCACCTTTTGCTGCTATTTTTTTCTAAGATGAAAAAAGGCTTCTGTATACCTAAAGTGGTATCTATCTATCTATCTATCTATCTATAGATATATAATTAATAAATATTTATATTGGCCACAACTTGGTAAAAAAGATAGTGAGAGACATTTAAAGTTTGCCTGAGAATCTTAGATTATACTTTCTATGTTTTTATTTCTATGTCAAGGGAAAACTGAATTAGTTTGTCATTTCATGACTTAAATACATTCAATTCTTTTAACACAAGTCTTAATTAATACACCTTAAATGCTAATTTTAACTTCAATTTTATATATTAACAAAACCAAAACAAAAAAGCTCAAACCCTCAAAAGAAGGGTTCATTGCTTCTCTTTCTTAAATTAAAATCAGTAAGTTTCCAAACCATTCCTTTAGTTAAGGAACAATAATTAGCATGCTATTCTTTGCTGATTTAGTAAACTCTGGTCCTGGCTCAGCCCTCTTTTAACAGATACAGAGGAACAGGTTTTTAAACATAAATAAATCATGCTGAAAATGTGTGTCCCTTAAAAGTTATTATTTCAATTTTGTTAAGCATTGTACTTTACCAAGAATTAAATCAGTCACAGATACAACTATTATCACTGTAGTGACCTTTAGCTATTTTGACGCCTGTTATTTGTGAATTCTAGAACCTACTGCAGTGGTTTTCAAACTTCAGCAGCAGAATCATCTGGTGGTCTTGTTAAAATCCAGATTGCTGAGCTCCACCTTAGTTTCTGATACAGATTTGGATTGGGCCCAGGATTTTCATTTCTAACAAGTGGCCAGGTGATGCCCCTGCTGCCGGACTGACCATATCACATGCACTTTGAGAACCACTGGCTTACCGAGATGAAAGTGGTAATAATAATAATAATAAAACCTAATTCTATTTTAAAAACTTCTTAGCCCGGTAAACAAAACTCTTCATGACCCTGAACTCTGCCTTCTATAGTCTCCTTTCCTCTCATACTCCATCTGGCCTATTGTGTTATGGTCTTACATAACTATTTTTGGTCTGTGGAACACATATTCTCTCAGGTTTCCATGCCTTTGCAGAAACTGCTCCCTCACCTGGAAATGCTGACAGTTCTAATTCACCTGGTTAGCTTTCACTTGTTCCTTTCAGGGGTGGGGAACCTTTTCCTGATAAGGGCCATTTCAATATTTATAACATCCTTCAAGGGCCATACACAAAATTATCAACTTCAAAGTTAGCCTGCTATATTTAGTCAAACATTTAATTACCTCAACCCTAATGCCTTGACAGGGCCAGTCCAAATGATTTCTCAGGCCTTATACGTTCCCCACCCCTGCTTTAGATGCTCCAGTGTCATCTTTTTTGTGCTGCCTTTTGATTTCCTAAGGTAGAACTCATTACTCCATCCCTCCTGTGGTCCACAAGTCTTTACTCACTTTGTGAATTCTGGGAAATTATTAAACCTTTCTAGACCATATTTTTTTTCCATCTAAAATAAGGGATTACATGCCCTAATTCATAAATTCCTGTGACAATGAAGTGGGCTTAAACAATACTACCACTGTTAACTGTGCTCGTGGAGGGATGTTGCTTATCTTCTTCACCTGTGGGAAGAGTGAGCACAGTGCTTGGCACATAGAAGCTCAAATGCATGCTGAGTCAATATGACAGTAATTTGACTTGAAACAATTACTGACTCACACTAGAGAGCCATTAAAATTTTTTGAGTTTGACTAAATCAGTATTCTCAAAGTACGGTCCCTGGACCAGCAGCATCAGTATTACCTGGACCTTGGAAATGTAAATATTTGGGTCTATCCCAGACCAACTGAATTAGATACTTTTGAGGTAGGACCCAGGAAGTCTAATCATTCCTCCAGGTGTTTCTGATAAAAACTAAAGTTTGAGAACCACTGCTTTAAGTAGCCTGATTTACAATAAAGATACTATTATGATACGTAGTCTTAAATAAGCAGATAAGAGGGTATTCTAAGATCCCAGAAAGTGGTTTAAGAATATTGTTTCAATGAGGGCAACAAGTTTTCTATTGTGTTCAAAGCCAACACAGTGGTTTGAGCTTCATGTTCTCTAAGATCAACTGAAGCAGAATGATGAATAATCTTCCTTCATTTACTTCTTTGACCTAACACTAAATATTATACTTATTTTATTTTTTCTTGTTGCACTCACTACACTATAACTTGATGGTTAACTAGTTTCTGAACTTAAACTCCTTAAGGGAAGGCTTCCTAAGACTTTTATAACTATTCTTGTAAACTTTAAGTGCTATATAAAGGCAAGGGATAATTTTTTTTTTAAAGAAGCTTCCTGTTTACTATGGGCCACTCTTTTAGAATAAAATCATACCTCGATTAGCATTTACTAGGTGAATTAAAAACTGTGGGTCTGGAACCTGGTCAGTGTGGTTCGGTGGTTGAGCGTTGACCCATGAACCAAGAGGTCTCTTAATTGAATGCTGGTGGGGGCACAGGCCTGGTTGCTGGCTCAATCCCCGCTAGGGGGCGTGCAGGGAGACAGCCAATAGATGTTTCTCATCCATGTTTCTATCTCTACTAGAGGCCTGGCGCATGATAATTCATGCACTGGAGGGGGGGTCTCTCAGCTAGGCCTGCCCCCTCTCGCAGTCTGGGAGCCCTCAGGGGCGCGAGGCGACCCGGCGATCAGGGGAAGGTGATGTCCCCATCACACCTCTGCTGCTGCCATGGCTGGCAGCACAAGCCTCAGCCGGCCCTGGTTATCTGAGCCTCGGGCAACACTGGGTAGCTGGGCAGCCGCCATTCAAGGCTTGCCTGCACCTTAGGCCGGCCCTGGGCAGCTGGGGGCTAAGGGGACTGAGGGACTCCAGAGGCAGGTGCCCAGCCTTGCTGTGTGCCTGCCGTTCCAGTGGGGCTGAGGGGACTGGGCGCCACCATCTTGTGGCTGTGGGTGCTGCCATCTTTGAGGGTGGGGCAGTCAATTAGCATATTCCCTCCTTATTGGCCATGGGCACCGTCATCTCTGTGACGGTGTGAGGGTCAATTAGCATATTCCCTCTTTATTAGATAGGATATCCCTCTCCCTTCCTCTTTCACACTGAAATCAATAAAAAAACATACAAAAAAATAGTGGCTATGGAGAAAATGGACAGAAATATAGAATTGTGTGTGTGTGTGTGTGTGGGGGGGAAATAAGAATGCTATTTTTGTATAATGGATTTTTATTTACTGGAAATGCAGCCCCCAAAGAATCAAATGAGCTTGAATTAAGTGTTTTCAAAAAGTTAATTACAATCACATTCAAAGGAGAAGTAAAACTCAAAAGAATCAATGCTACTGCAAGATAGCTTGGCTTTCCATATTTTTGTTCATGTTTTAATTCATCCCAACTGGCTCCTGACCACAGCTTTTCTTCCCAAGCTGCCTTACTTTTACCACAACAGATCACTTGCAACTTCACT